TTGTTTATTACTTATGGTCTAGCCACAATAGTAGACAAAATATTTTACTTTTTTTACATTTTTTGTACAGATGCAGTGTACGTTTTCTTTTAATTAATATTATGTTTTCTCATCCTTATAGATTACAACGTTTGGTTATTATTCCTTGACGAAAACAATTTTTAAAGCTATTTTTAAATAATTTAATTATCAAGCCATACAGGCTTTCTCGGTATATCTACTCGGTATTTTTAATCTACAAACGATATGACGTATTTGATTTATGAAGTGATATTAAAATTGATGGCTCACAAGTGAGGTGACTTTTCATTTTATTTCTGACTTTGTAAAACACTGAATAAATACAAATGCAGTATGATTTCATATTGAAGAACCAGATAAGAATGATTGATTAAAAATTGCTATACTACATAAAACTGGAACAATACTTGAAGCTTCTATAATACTTCTGTTTCTATGATGAAGTCTTGTTTTTGTACGAAGAACAATAATGGCAACGAGAATAGTCAAGAATAAGGAAGAGAGTTTTCGTTGCGCTGACCGAATTTTCAACTCCTTCTCTATTTCATATAAAAATTACAATGTACCGATGACCGAATCGTCGAAGAGTAAAAGCGAGAAACGGTCGAATGACGAATCGGTCGTCATACGAGGACGTGACCGCCGAGTCTGTTCACATAAGTAGATTGTAGACTTGTGTGTACGGCTCCCACCGTTGCGTCGGATCGCGGCGCGAACTTCTCCGTCCAATACCGAAGTGAAAAGTGACGGCAGTCAACCAGCCTCTCGAAGTGGTGACGCCCCGCGCCGGGTCAGCCTCTCAGCTACGCGCCGCCAGCCTTAAGTAGTTATGTTTACGCTGCGCCCGCGATCGAATGCATATCTTAACTGTGCTCATTCACTCGTCGAGCCGCAACATTAAACGTATCTCTTAATCCACGCTGTGGATCAAACGTAAACGCAGGGATCTAGACCGGCGCGTTGTGTTCCACGAAGAGAGATGCAACATGAATCACGATAAATCATAATTTAATCAATTATACAGTTCTCCGTGCGCTGCTATCGACTCCTTCCTACGACGATGCGACTCCGCGCCCGGATTTGTGATTCAATCGTTTTAACAACAGTTGTCGGATGTGGTATAAGAATGAGCTCGAACGTGACGATGCATAAACACTAATTATATTCACAGTGTGAACAAGTGATAGCCACCGTTTTGCCGGGGGGATTTTGAATTTCGATGTTTTTAACGACGCAGCGGTGCGTCTGCTTGGCGTGTGTGTCTGCGCCAGCGGGATTAATATGCGCGAGCGGGAGGTGAGATTCGACGTGTCGAGGAAGATTGTTGTGAAAGAGAGAAAGGAACATCTGGCAGTGTAAAGGTGCTAAAGTGGCTTGGTTACCACGAGGGAAATAAATTCGCGCCGGACGTTCTCCAACATGCACTCCTACGCGCGTTCCATCGTTGCCCTGAAGATCCTTGACAGATAATACTTGTCTCACGTTGCAAACGGAGAGAAGTGAAATTCAGTAAACAATCGGTTAAAGTGCATCGATCTTCGGATTAAGCTCTCCTGGAGCTTAAATGGCGACTATGGGAGTCATCGTATATACACAACGTACGTAAATTTTTATCAGCGGTCTTTTCCAGCGTGCCACGTCGCTTACTTTAATCTGTAATTTGTATACAAGTCGAGTTCTATACCTCGATTATTACTATGTATGTTTATCGGCTCTGGCTCACGATTAAAGTCCACGGAAAAATGTGGACGAGAGTTTGTCGCAACAGCGGATAGTTAGACGGCAGCGTAATAACGCGCGAGCTTTGGAATTCGCGTTACGTATAGTCGAGCCTTGTACATGGTTCACAATGTGTAGTACACGTCACGTGTTTGATATGCCATCGACCTACATGCACGTACTTATTTACTTACTTACTTAGGATTAGCTCGGTGACCAGCGTCGAATGAAATTTATCAGATAGGAATAGACGTCTGGTTGTAAAGTGTGACAAGACGATGAACATGTTCGAGTAAACTTACTCGCTTGAACAGAGAAAAATGATGTTATATAATAAGAAGGTAGATAGAGTAGTTCGATTGTATACTGCGAATTCACGAAAGTCCGATAGCTTATCAAAATTAGTAACGCTGAGTCATGGTAATTTGACGATTCATTCTGCACGTGTGCTATATTAGTCTTTCTATTATATGTGCTTCGGATCTCATTTATTTCAACAGTCGTTTTATCATATTACTTAGTATGCATGGAAGATGATTTCCTACTGCAAATTATAGAACAATGTTCAGATCTAGGTTTTGCTGTTTACACCTAGAAAGAATGGGTAAAGAGGAAGTGTAATTATGAACAAAGTTCTCCGTTCGCTCATTTAATTCACAGATTATTATTGGTGATTACATATACATCAGATACAATCAGCTCAGCTTAACGTTATGATACGAAGACCATTCGCGTAGCTCGGTCTAGCGCTTATTCGCTACTTCCAGAAATCCGATCCTTCAAAGAAGAAAGATAAAAGAGAGAAGCAACAGGTAATCGAAGAAGAGAAAGGGGAACGAAAGTGCGCGGAAAAATTAGCAATGATGAATAAAACATTATAAGAAGAAAAGTGATCAAGGAGGACCTGAACAACAGGAAAAACCTGACGCGACGGTCGAAAACTCCTAAATCTAGCCATCAAGTGTCTTGAATAGAAAACGGTAAAATAATAAAATGATAGAATAGAAAATTAAAAAAGAAGAGAAAATAGAAATACATAAGGGACGGCAAAAACGAGTCGTCACAAAACCTCCATTTCATTTGTTTGTAAATTGTATCAATTTCTTGAATGGATGTATGTATGTAGTATGTATGTATTTTTTCGAGTGGAATTCGCCATGATAAAATTAACTGAACTGTACTGTTGATGTTTAATCTAATAAAATTCTAAATCATAGACTCTTTTCCTATTAACAGATAAATTTCAGATAATTTGCTGCTGTAAATTATGAAGCGATGTTGAGATTAATTTTTTCTATGTACGTTTTAAACAACTGTTGGGTATCACGATAAAACTGAACATTGACAAGGATTCTTATGATTCTGATTCTGATAATAAAACTCAACATTATAGATTTTTATCTTGTTAATAAANATTTAAACTTCAAGAAAAATCAAAAACACTTGACAGTCAGCATAATTTAGTTATTCATAAGCTATGACATAATAAAGCTGAGAACTGGTATTGTTGAATATTCAATAAAAAATCATGAAACATACGTTACGCACGATGATGAAAACAAAAAATTTAGGAATAAATCTAGTTATGATCTGAACCAAATTAACAGTAATCTTTATAACTTACCAATTGGCAACGTTTTCAATTGGAATTATCGAGTTTTTAAATATTTTTTCGTCTTAAAGATGTTAAAAAGATATGATGAAAAGAGATGTTAAAAATTGTTATTCGTATGATAACTAGACCTTTACTGAAGATGCTGTGTTTTCAAATCAGTTGGTTAAGTACAACTTAAGATATCGTGTTAACAACTTTTGTAAAACATTCTCAATAAAATAGAATGAATTAGGGTAATGCAAATCTTCGTATTTTTCTTCAACTTTGTCCAGAATGGGATGAACTTTTGCACCAATAACGCACAGGATTTTAATTGCTTTCACCTTTAAGTAATTCATTATATACTTTAAATACGCATAAATATACATATGTCAAAACTTAATACTGAAAGTTTAATAGATTTTTAAAAATAATTATTTTAAAATATGCCATGAAGAACTAGAAGAATGCCCTCTTAACGTTAGTTCTATGATTAACGTATTAAATATGTATGTTAGCGCTATCAGGCCCGGCGAAGAATTAAAAAGACCGCAATAAAGCATCGTATTTCCTCTCTGAAAATTAATTGATAAGAACGACTGAAACTTGATACCAGTCACGTACGATTCCATAGCAGCTGAATGTGCTGAATGATTCTAAGAAACGTGGTATCAAGCCATCTTAATCTCTGCTTTCGAAGCAACGTTCCTGCTTTTCATACGTCTGACACGGATTTTATGTACTATAGACAGAAGCGTTATTAATTTTCCACCAAGTCTTTAATTACGCAACAATTTATTCTTCATTTAAGACAAGTTTCTACGTACATGAATGACTAATACAATTTCATGCTAGTTTTACATACATGTCTTTTTCTTTAAAACACTTAATAAAACAGAATTTATATATAATATATAACTGCAATTCATTTTTATATGTTAATGTTATTTATTGATAACAATTTTCGTTAAACATTGTTAAAAACTCAGGTAATACGTTAGTAGCGATTAGCATTATAAAAGCGATGATATTTCTATTTACGATTTTCTTTTATTTCGTGTAACTCGTCACAATGTGCTGACTTTATCTCGCGCGGTTGATAGATTTCATATATAATTGATATTAATAGGCATGGTTAATCGTCAAGTAATCCACGCGACCAATGGACCTTGAGCCCACCGCTGCCTTGCAATGCAACGTATATTTTCATTCTCTTCGTTAATGAAAATATACAGCTCTTGTCTTGTTTTTCAACTAAGAGTTTTATTACACTGTTTTGCAACTTTCTTTTCCTACGTCTTGCTTCAAAGTTTCTTTTAGTAAGACTCTAGTATTAGGATAAAGAAAGTTCAGGAGTTCATTACAGCGTATAAATAAAAATGACTAATTGTCAAGGATAGAATATTTCAAGGGAATTGACTTTTTATTAATTCTATAAATACAATTTGTACTAGCAAGAAGCTGAGAGAATACGTCATCAATTTATTATAATTCTTCTCTGTGCAGTTCATATTTTAATAACTATCTCTCAATTTTATATTGGATTTAGTTTTCTAGTTTTACGTTTAATTTTATAAACTTAGATTTAATTTCGTTAACAAGATAATTAATATATTATTCAAATGAAATGTTACAGGCATGTACACCATGCGAATGCTTGACAATGGGAATAACAATGCTTCGGGTCCAACGGGTGCAGCGGCTTTGCCGGGAGTCCAAACCGCCGGTGGTACGACCTCTTCGGCGGCGGGTGTTACGACCCTTCCGGGTGTGACAGACGAAAGGATGGATGCGTCCAGCGATAGTGCTGTCAGCAGCATGGGTAGCGAACGCGTACCATCCCTCTCGGATGGTGAATGGATGGAGACTGGATCTAACTCTAGCCACACGCAAGCCGATTCTCATTATACCATGGATTACGCCAGGTAATTACACTTACTAATACATAAATTAAAATCATTGTAAAACACCGTCTCAATTATTGAAACAATATACATGATAAAATAAAAAAAATAGCTGCAATATATATGAAATATATGTCCTTGAATTCTTGAAATTTCAAACCGTCTACAAAACTATATGATCAGATACACAGACTGATTTTTATAAAAACAAAGTTACTTTCATTTTTCTTTGAAATGAAATTGTTTTTCAAATTCTTAACTCAAGAAAATCTCATTGGTAGCAAAACTGAACATAAAATACAGCAGTGAATCAGTAAAAAGTACCATGTACAATAATAAATTGTTGTTTAATGATTTTATTAAAGCTAAAGCTGTACATATATGATAGGAATCATGAGATGAATGATCTTCGAACTGTATCAATGCAAAAACATTGTCAAGGTTCTTTAACAAAAACAGTAAATATCTAATTATTTCCAATGACATTTAGTCCCGCCGTATATAAAGAGCAACAGGCACTTCTATTTGAATTTTATTATTTCGAGTCACAGTACAAAATTTTCGGATACCACTTATGAAAAGAAATTTCCGTATCCTTATTCAATTTACAAATCATTTCATTTTCAGCAAATATCGCATGTCGTATGACTGCAGTTACTCGGTTTCCGGGAGAAACGCCGGTTCCCCGAGATGTCAGACGGAACGCAGCATGCCACCGGTTGCCCAGAAAAAACATCAAATGTTCGCCAAGCGATATTTTCAAGAACAAGGAACAGGTTGGTATATCAAAAGAAGAAGGGGAGGGGACAAACTATGGAACAAATTAAAAATTTTTATGATTTAGGTTCGCCTCTCGGAGCTACGGCACATCCAACTACCCCGATGAAGTATGAATACGACTCGCATACAGTTGGCGCCGGTGCACCGGGAAATGCTTACTCCGGCCCGATCGAAGGTGCTGCTGGTCCTCAACCAGAAATGAAATATAGCTGTAGTGTAGATTTCAATCGTCATCAATCAGGTAAAAGAATCAGACATTTCTTAACTTCACATATTAAATAGATTTTTATACAAAATAAAACTTAAATAAACATTACTTGATGTAAAATATTAAAAATGTACTTTAATTATTAAATAAATCAGTTAACTAATTATTTATTTTTTATGCATTAAGGACGTTCTGCTATAGAACACGTTCATCATAATCATACTTATCACTTACCTGCTGAAAGCTCAGGCTCGCTTCAACGTCCAATTTCTCGCGACAAAAAAGGTAACCGACACAAATCGATAAATAATATAACTGTTACTATATTATAATATTGTACTAATATCAATGTTTGTTTGTAGTGCGTAAAAGCGAGGGCGAGGAGCATCTGACCAGAGACGAAAAGAGAGCAAGGGCGTTGAATGTACCGATACCAGTGAATGATATTATCAATCTCCCTATGGACGAATTTAACGAACGTCTTAGTAAATACGATCTCAGCGAGGCTCAATTGTCGTTGATACGCGACATCAGGAGACGGGGTAAAAACAAAGTTGCTGCGCAGAATTGCCGTAAACGTAAGCTGGATCAGATTCTCAGTCTTGCCGACGAAGTGAAAGAGATGAGGGATCGCAAGATGAGGCTTATTCGCGAACGCGAGTTCATGCTTGTCGAGAGGCAACGCGTCAAGGACAAATTCAGTCAGCTTTATCGTCACGTGTTTCAAGTAAGCATAACATATCCTATGCATGTAAAACCTTAGGGAGATTCTCAGTTAAAAATTTTTCTCCAGAAACATGTGAAAGACGTTCTAATATTTAATTTTTAGTCGTTGCGGGACCCAGATGGCAATCAATACCACCCGTATGAATACAGCCTGCAACAATCAGCCGATGGGAATGTGCTGTTAGTGCCGAGGAATCAGACGAATCCCCATCACCCACGCTCGACTACGATGGAACCAAAAACAAAGCCTGACTCCGAGCACAAAGAGTGAAATTCGGGAGAGATCGCGTTTCGACGTTCGATACGTTCGATAAGGGAAACTATATTTTCTTGAGGCGGTGTATGCAGATTCGTGCGGCAGGCGAACGTGTTGCGCGGACGCAAAACCGCACGAGAATTTCACAGCATGTTCAATTAAGAAATATTTCAAAAGTGTTTACAATACTCGCATTGAGTTATGTCTTTCTTTGAGAAGTAATCACCAAACGTAGAAACACTGATTGTACATATAGTTAATTGACGTAAGCGGATTGATAATCTATGCAAATAGAGAGAGGTAGGCAAAGCTAAGGATTCGTGTTACTCAAAAGGAAATATTTTTATTCTGATCAATCGTGAGTGCATGAAGCTACGAGATGTTTTACTTATTTCGTATTCAAATTCGTGGGGACACTACAGTAATTTTTGTCGTACTATTTTTTTTCCTTCGATATATAAAGATTACAACTTTAATTTCAAATACGTACAGATATATGTCATGTATATATGCGTTTTTTTATCCGCCGTGATTATATTATAGCTACGTATATACATATAGATATGGATTGAATATACTTAAACATTTAATGAAGGAAATTGAAATACGTTACGGTCCAACTATAGTTGATGTATAAGTCAATTAATTTGTAGTTGCATCGTGCAACAGTTGAATTGAAGCGTAACATCGAAATTATGTGATCTTGCCAAAACTTACGTATTTCGCATAGAGATAAATACGTTTTGAATATGTTATACAGAATTCAATGCTGGTAAGACAAACTGTATCCGAATAAATAATACCAGTAAATTAAAACGGTTGTGTAGCTCCTGCTTTACCATTAATATAAATTTATAAAACGATCGCAACTTCCTCGATGTTAATAAAACATCAGAAGATGTCGAGATGCAGAATAAAAGATTGCGTTCAAATTGGAAATTATATGAAAGCAAAGAGTATATCTCAGAGACATCGAATAATGTATATTGTTGGGGTTCTGTACAGAGAAAATTGTTCCAAAAGAATATGAAATTTCAGTCCGTTCCGAACGAAATATATTAAATAAATTGTAATATAAAATGATAAAGATATCTAGTTATTAATGTGAGTACATGAATACTTTATGCGCAACGTGTTGTATCGCTATAATAATTGATAATAGTATTGATTGAAATATGAACAAAAAAAACACATAATAAATACACATATTTTTATAAAATAAGGGACGAATAAAATTCAGGTATTTCACATATTTGTCTTTGTATGTATATATTAAATGTAATTAGAATAATTTTATATAAATATTATAAATATATGAAAAACGCATATATGTATTTATGTATATGCGTCATAATTATACATATATATAAATACGTATAAATAGATTAATAAATTAGATAGATATATATATATATATATATATATATAAACATTAAAAAGTGAATCGAGGTGAGGAATGCTGTTTATGCCGAGGATTTATAATAGTCAAGTTTTTATTAACATTTACATACATAATTGTATTTATATTACTGGGTGTAGGCCTCCTTTACGTACTGTACTTAGCGGAGATCGTGTTGTTAAAAGATCTACTATAATGAGAAAAAGAATAATTTATAGAATTACTCTGTCCGTGAAAACTACCCGCGTACGCACCAACGAAACAGATTTATACTTATACGAATCTTCAATTCCATCTGATCACATTTTACGATCTCCTACATCATTCAATTTCTATATTGTATAAAATGAAGCTGAATAAACCTTTGGGGAAATTACTGTACATATTTTCACATGATACGTGTGCAATACTTATCCATCCAATTATTTTGCAAAATGAAAATTATCGAAAATGAAATTGTGAGAACGTTGTGTAGAACATAGACACATTGGTATTTGATGTTGCTCGACATCATAGTCGTATACAAATTAATAGTTTAAAAAATTCTGTAAGAAATAACATTCAGAACTAGAAAACCCCCTTAAGAATTTTAAAACTTAACAAAAACATCTCTTAGACAACTTGTTTTAATATTAATTTCTTTAATATCTCGACGAGGGAAGCTGTTAAGTTCTACTTCAAAGAATGCATGGAGAAACCGCCTTACTAATGGGATAATCAATACAATAAGCAAGATTGAATACGCGTTACTAATGGAATAATCAATATTCCAATCAAGCTCGAAGTATTTTATTTTATGTTGCAGACTATTAAAACAGAATACGTACTTTATTTTTTTATTT